GCAATTTATGCCACCAGACCTAAAAGATGTATATATTCTTTCTCATTCAGGGTTCTAAATCGGAACATTTTTTTCTTTCTTAAATTAGAAATCATATTCTATATTTAGAACCTAGAACAAGTAGGGTATTTATGTCGTTTGTTTCCAAGAACTTCACTGCTAAACTATAAAAATGCCCTTACTTATTCAGCGTTCCAAACTTAGAATAGTGGCATCACGAGTACCTTCTGGCCAAATAATTGAAGAGGTACCTAATTGAGAAACCCTTTAAAAAGTGAATACTTTGTTGGTAAAACTGTTTATTTAAGCACCTCATTGATTTTTTGAATGGTTTGACCATTTATTGATATGTTTTCTAAGAATTATTGCTATTCTAGTTTTATCTTAAGAAATATTAACTACTTTTGCTTGGTTTAGTGGCAAAGTATAGATCAAGAATTCCGGTTAAGAGGGCTTCAATCAAATCAGCTTTTTTTTAGGATCCAACCAATTTAGTTCTCACAAATTCCATCAGGAAAAAACGAATTTCACTCAAAAGTAAGAATTTCTATCAATTATCAAAACAACAATACTCATCTCACAACATTAGAAAATAATTAAATTTTTTATAAATGTAATAAAAATATAAATATAAAATATTGTTCAAAAACCAACTAAATTATAGTAAATGACTGAAAAATCAGGATAAAAAATTATTTTAACTTACTTAGTAATTAAATAAAAGAGTTAAAGATCATTAAATTTTATGAGATATCTTAAAAAATACTTTTCATGTAAACTACGCCATCTGCAATGCACGTACTATTAGACAATTTTAGCTGTTTGAGAGGATTTTTAATCGATTTTTTGACCTTATCCTTATATTCCACAACATATCAAGCCAAAATTACCTAACCCAACTTCTAAGTTAAATAAAAAGATATCAATGTTAACGGTTCTCATTTAGGCTTGGAATCTCATTTTAGGTATAATGTCTCATCCATGAATTTTGGCATTTGCCATCCTATGTCATTTTCATCCATCATCTATTTTCATGGGCGTTAAGAGGGATAAAATGCTAGTTAGTTTCTTAGTTTTTTTGAGAAATAGTCAGTTTCTTAGTTTCTCTTTTGGGGAGAGAGGGAGAGAGGAACAGGGTATGGATCCAAGATTTAATTCTAAATTCAGATTCGGATTCAAAATTTAGATTGGAATAGTAATTTGGATCGGATCCGGGTACAGGTGGATCCGATATGGATCCGGCCCGATTTTTTAAATTGTATATATTATTATATATAGTTATATATATATATAACATATATAAATTTTTAAACTTTTAGAAGACCTAATCCGGATCTCTTATATTATTTTTAGATCCGCATCGAATCCAAATCCCATGCATAGTTTTTTATAAGGATCCAGATTTTTTTGGATCCAATCGGATATGGATTTGGATTCAAATCCAATGTATACTTTTCGGATCTAGATCCAGATTTGGGTGGACCCGGGCCCGATCCAAAAAATTCTTAGCCCTAGAGAGAGTTCCTCGTCTTCTTCCTCTTCTTGAAGGGTGCTTGAACCATACACCACAGGCAGAGTGTGTGGTAAACTAGCAATGCATTTATTTCCGTAGATCTCATCTCTATCTATGTGAATGGTCCTCATAAAAAAAAAGAAATATATATAATAAAATTACTTATTTTTTATATAATGAAGGCATAATCATGGTTGATCGTTAGATTTGAAATTAGGTAGTTGTGGATGTGCCACTGATTGGATACAAAGTCTTAAATAAATATTCTTGAATGTTGTGGCACATTTCAGTTTGTCAAATTCCACATCTAATTGCTAAGAGTAATTGTGAGTGGTCTTACAGTTTATAACATAAAAAAAAAATATACTTCTTATCAAGAATGACAATCACCGTTTATCATGTAAACTCATATACCATACACATGCGGTGGATTTTTATATGAATAAAATACACACACAACCTCCACCCATATTTGGGACCGGCATGACCAGCTTGGGGCCGGCCAACATAATGTGAGAAACTCTTCCCAATTTCCTCAAAGGAACATGATTCTTGGTTTATCATAGAACCCTCACTAGACATTTAGATTTGTGTTAAAAAAAAAAAAAACGTATTCGGTTTAGTTCAATTAGTAGTTCAACCCGTCAAAACTATAAAATACGCAGAGCATTTTTCATAAATTGCATTCAATTTTGATTCTCCTCAAGACCATGGTTCTTTTTGAACGAAACATGTTATGCCCCTAGTCGGTAGCCCAACCAGTCAGAGACGCAGCTTCAATACCGTTTTAATAATATTGTTTTGGACTCTGATATAAATTTTATTTTGTTAATCACCATTCATCAACCTATCATCATGAATATCATCATGATCTTGAATGGGGACCCCATATTTACAAAATAAGAGTTGGTTAGTCCTCTAAAGGGTTTCTTGGTCAAGTGAGAGATATCATGACCAAAAAGGGGAGACACTTGGATCTGGGTTATAAGATATCTTAAGTCTTGAGTAAGGGTGGCAATGGACCCGAGATCCAACCTAGGATCCAAGGGATAAATCCGATCAGTATGGGTCAAAAATTGAACCCAACGGGTTGGATTTGGATTCAAATTTTGAACATGAAGGCTATTCAAGTCCGGATCCGGGTACTGGTCCAGTGAATTCGGGACTGGTGGGGTCCAAGTTCTATATCATTTTTTCAGGTCTGGGTCTTGGTCCAGCCGGACCCAAATTCGACCCAACCCACCCCTGGTCTTAAGTTCAAGTACAGTATGAGGATATACCCCAAGCTTCTAGAACCCATAAATATCTAAGCCATCAGATGTAAAAACTGGATGGTTGGAGTGTCATTTTCGTATTAAGTCTAAAGAAAATTTCCTTTGACTTCAAACATAGCCAATGTTATACTCCTAGCCGCATGATTTCACATCTTATGGTAGTTGTGACCTTTTTGTACACATGAATGCAATCTTATTGCATCCTCATGCTGGATATTGAAAAAATAATAAAAAAGGAAAAAAAAATTGGTAGGTTGAGGTTTTAGGTGGCCTACCCTTATGGCCGAGCTTGGGCTTTCTCAATAGGCTCGTGTGGATGTTAGGCCCAATTTTGTGGATAAATGTAGACCTTATTGAGTTATTTCTTTCTTTCTTTAGTTGGAGCCTTCGCAATGGATTATCTTGGGTTGGACTTGGGCTTCGGCTTAAGCTTGGGCTCAAGAAAGGCTCAAAGCCAATCCTTAGAAATAGTTAGAGTCTTTTTGTCCTGGTGCGAGCACAGTCTGCATCTTCACAGATATGTCTATTTCACCGTGTCTCTCATCGAGATAGTGTCTAGATCGTTATGTCTTTTATGTAAGTCGGAACTTACCCGACAAAGAATTCGCTGCCTTAGGACCATTATAGTTACGATCGCCATTCATCAGGGCTTTGGTCTTTGATTCCCTTGTCATCAGGTCACCAGCTTCTTTGACCTTTCGGCACTGGATAGGTGTCGGCCATTTTCTTTTTATAATGTTAATGCTATATTTTGTATTCACAAACAAACCAAGGCCTAGGTGCCCAGCCCTGAAACCATGGACATTCATTCTCTCTCTCTATAACAAAAAGTGTAGACCCTGAAATTCGACATCATTTTTTCTCTTTTGGTCGTCTTATTTACCTCATGCACCCCACATTTTATACCACAAGAAGGAATTTGGTGGTGGTTCTCTTTTCCAAAAGCAATTCTACACCCTTGAGGTTCACATACTATTCTAAACCATGGAACCCAAATAGAACAATTCAACAAAAAGAAATAGTTTACACTTTTGAGAGAGAAGAGAGAGCAAAACTTAAGGTGAAGAAGAGAGAGAGCAAAAACTAAGGTAAAGGGGAGAGAGAAAAGCAATAACTAGAGAGAGAGAGAGAGAGAGAGAGAGAGAGAGAGAGGGGTAAAGGTGTGATGTCCAAATTATGGAATGAGTTAGGGTTGCTTTGTCTGGCTGGCTTCGCCCCTACGGCTATCCTGCCCACTCCACTATACACACACCCTTTAAGACTATGACGTCATGCCTAAGCATCCCCACCCCTCTTGTAAAAAAACATATAAAATTACTTTCTATTATCCCAAAACTACCCTCAGTTTCATTTCATAATAACATATATACCCTCACCTTCCTCCTTCCTAAATGCATCCTTAACTCTTTTGGTTATCCAAAATTACCCTTCTTATTTTGTTTAGATTGAGGTTTATAAAAATGCTAATTGGATCGGAACCGGCTGATCTAGATTGAGAACCATAAGACAATTTGGTTGGGACGGGCTGGTTACCCCCATGATATGATTGGTTCTAACCAGTTTTCTGTAGGGATGGCAACAGGTTGGATCGGGTCCAGGTTCGGTCGGACCCGAACCGAGACCCAAAAAAATTATAAATGACTTGGACTCGGACCGGAATTCACAGGACCTGGACCCAAACCTGATTGGACCCTATCAGACGACCCAAAAATTAAAATATCTATGCATTGAACTATATTTAAATACATTTTATATATTGGGACCTGAAGAATATTACAGGACCCAAGCTTAGACTCGACCCAGCCCGATCGTACCTGGACCTTGACCCGGATAGGGTCTAGCCCTCGGGTCTAGGGTTAGGTTTGGGTCCATTGCCACCCCTAGTTTTTCGACAGATTTTGGTTAGAATCGGCCCCAATTTTTATTTCAATTTTTTTATTTTTTCAAGAATTCCGATCACCAATCTGAATCGCCTATCTACTGAATCAGATTGGAATTCAGGATATGCAATCAAGGTCACCGATCTCATTTTTAAAACTGGTTTAGATCTTGCAGGACAATTAAAGCCAAGGTATTATTGGATTTCATAAAAGCATGGGTAGTTTGGTAATTGAGAGAAATCAAGTGCATATGTTTTTGTTTTTGGGTAAGACAAGTGAAATTTTTAATAAAATGTTAGCTCTATTTTATCTCTTGAAGAGGAAGCTCATAACCGCCAGCTTTTGCCATCCTACGTAAGAATTGGAAGATGGTTCTTTAAGGGAATACTTCCTCTATCAAGAAAAAAAACTCCATAATATAAATACACCTCTGAATTATTTGAGAAAACGCATAAAAACAAGAAGAAAAAAAACAGAGAGAGAAAGTAGAAGGAGAGAGAGAAAGAAGAAGAAGAAGTGAGACAGAAGATGCAGAAGCAACAGTCATGGGATCACCAGCAAGTCCTGGCGGTAAGGAACTCGGCGAGCTTTCGAGAAAGCCCGAAGGAAGATAGAGAAGAAGAGGAGGGTGCACGATCGGCTTTGATAGCGTTCCGAGCGAAAGAGGAGCAGATCGAGAGGAAGAAGATAGAGGTTAGGGAGAAGGTCCATGCTCAACTTGGCCGAGTGGAGGAAGAGACCAAGCGCCTTGCAGAGATCCGAGAGGTAACCACCACCACCACCAAATTTCAGTAAGAAATTTTGTTAATAGAAAAGATTTACATCCTGAAGATACACCAATCTTTTACTGTTTGTTCCTGGTTTTCTATTTTTCAATTATGAAATTTTTTCATATTTAACAAGAAAACTTCTAGTATAGGTTCTTAGCAACTTGGATTCTCTTATACTTGAGAATGAAACTATTATGGGGATTGTTGATCTTTATTTATATTGTTTTCAAAATTTACACATTTTGATAAAAAAAGAGGAAAGAAAAAAATATCTTAGCGTAAATTCTTGGCAACTTGATTTAGCTAATTTCCTTTTAGAGTTCTTAATAATGAAACTATGGCTTCTTCCCTATAATACTTATCATCATCGTCAAATCTTTTTTCCAACAAATTGGGGTCGGCTACATGAATCTTGATCCGCTATTCTGCTAATGAGGCCACAACTACTATGTAATACTAAAAAATAAATAAACAACAAAAGCAATGGTTCTTTAGCATATATATAAAAGATATAGTTGTCACTTTTATTAGAGTCTTGAAAAAGAAACTATTGAATGACCAAATGACAAAACTTACTATTTGTCCTAGTGTTATAAGAATTGGGAACTCGTAATAGTTAGAGGGCTTAGTCGAAATTGGTCGGACCTCTAGTTAAACCGGTTGGTTATAAATAATTTTTAAAAATGGTGAAACACATGTAAAAAAAAAATATACTAAAAAATAATCCAATTTTATTTAGCTGGTCCAACTAAAATCATGAGTTAAAGCTTCTAAAATTGATCAAATGTTGAATTTAATCAGTTTTTTATCGAACTGGTTTTTACCCTAGACAGATCGGTTAAGGCACCAATTTTCAGTTTGACAAGTTGGATAGGCCAGTTCGATCTTCTTGAAAGCACTGGCTTTTGCCCTCAAGTTTTGAAGCTTTACGGATTGTATTAAAACTCTCTCTCTCTCTCTAACAGGAACTGGAAGCATTGGCAGATCCCATGAGGAAAGACGTTGCAGGCCTTCGTAAAAGGATTGATGCAGTCAACAAGGAGTTGAAGCCTCTTGGGTATAGCTGCCAAAGAAAGGTGTATACTTCCCTTTTCTTATTTTCTTTACTCTCTCCTTTTCCATTTAACTCTACTTTTTTTTTATGTGTATACACTTATTTTCTCATGCGAAAGAGCTAGTTAGATGAAATATTTCGATATGGAATTTTGATATTCACCGTAGAATAATGAAAAGGAAAAAAAATGATTTTGAATTTCTAAACACCTAGATCTGACTACCCAAAGTTATTTTAAGGTATATTTAGAGTTTGCATTATTATTATTATTATTTTATTTTATTATTAGAGTTTTGCCTGATTGAGTGGACATATTATATGATCCTGAGGGAGCATACAATCTTTTAGCTTAGTTTAATTTCCATGCATGAATGTTGTGTTGCATGCACACGTTATGAAGCATGGTATGTATGTATATGGACACTTATGAGTTATGATCAGGGGTTATGGTTATATGACTTCTATTCTATATGTTCATGGAAGTTCCGTACATGCATGTATTCATAATATACATACATGAAAGCATACTGAGGTATATGTGAAATGCGATAGGAGAGGGAGTATAGGGAAGCCGTGGAGGCTTTCAATGAGAGGAATAAAGAAAAATCCCAACTAATTGCAAAGCTAATGGAGGTAACTGATTTCATTTTTTTCTTTCCTAATTTTGTACATTCTATGATAAAATACATGAAGCAATTCAATTATGAGTTATTTTAGATGGTATCTTCCAAGTAAAGAAAAAGAAAATGGTTTGACAGTGCTGTAGCCCAATTAAAATACGTAAAACCTCGCTTCATAACTCGTCGAAAATTGTAAGTCAAGCATTGGAAAACCTTTATATCCATCATCTCGACTTGAACATTATGTTTGTTAAAAAAAAAAGTAGCGTTTCAAGCTTTAAAAATAGTGTCTATTATAATAAATTATCTAGACTGTCCATTTTTCTTAAAAAATAACTGTCAACAGATTTGCAAGATCTGTACTATTTTTTAGTTTCAAATTTTATTATCAGTGTTGGAAGTTAATTTTAGAGCCATCATTAGAGATTTCCGTCACCGAAAGTACTTTCCAAACGAGGATTTGAGGTGAGGCTTTATTTTATTTTCATAAAGCCTAAGCCTCATAAAAAACCTCATTCGAAAGGAAAATTGGCTTTATCTAAAGAAAAAAAAAAGAAGAACAAAAAGAAAGTGATTCTCCGATGTAGCCTCCTTGCTTGAAGCTTCATTTATTTTATTTAATTTCAGTTTTGTTTTTTTTTGTTTTTTAATTATCATTTGTGATGTGGTGGTTGGCAGCTGGTGAGTGAAAGTGAGAGATTGAGGATGAAAAAGCTGGAGGAGCTGAGCAAACACATTGATTCACTTCACTAACTGACTTGGCATGCAAAGTCCCTCTTAACTTTTTAAATTTCCCTTTTTTTTCTTTTACGTTTTCTTTTTGTCATTTTCATTTATCTTTTATTGTGGTTGTTTACTGTTTGTTAATGGGTTGTTTGGTGTGTGAATACTTTATCCTGTGGGTGCAATGTCTCCTCACTTGTGCTTGACTTGCAAGGAAATCCTTCGTACACATATTGCAAATGACAAAAAGATCCTGTTTATTTTCTCTTCATTTACAATTATGTTTTCTTTCAAGTTTGCCAAATAATCCCATAAGTCTTGATTTTTTTGACAAAAAAAATTTGGACTATTTCTCGATTTGTGCGTGTCATCCTTGCGCAAAGGCCATGCTGATCGTCTCTATATCGTTCCAATTTTATCGGATGTCTCCGAAGGGACCATAAGTCTAGAACTTAGGAGTTGCCATTTTTGTGTTTGGAATTTTAGACCGTTTTCATTCTTGCTCAAGGTGAAAATGCAGGAATTTATATGATGGGAAATGATCAAATTTACACCATGTCTATTTTTTTCGAACTTTAGCTCGTCCTTTTATTGCTTTCAAAATTGATGAACATGTATGTGTTTGTTTACAAAAAAATGGAGTCTATTTGTACTAGACACTACAAAATTAGAACTATACACCGTATCTCAAGTTCGATTCCTATTACTGAACTGTTAGTTTTTTCGGTTTGAAAAATGCTAAAGTGTATTTCAAAACAACTTTGGTTTTATTGTTCTTTTTAAAAAGCTTTGTAGAAAGAGAAAGATGTGGGTTTGAGTCCCACATTGAAGAGGAGAGAGTTTGTTGAGTCATATTTAAGAGTGTGTTTTTCCATGCAATATACTTTTAAGTACAAAAGGGAGAGAAGACACATATGCGAAGCACATGAAATATGTATGTGCGTATGGGCGTAGGCTCAAGGGTGCTTGTTGGGTGAAGCATGGAACCACCACTACACTCAATGGGCCATCTCTCTATCTACTATTTTCTTGTTGGGTGATGCATGGAACCACCACTACACTCGATAGGCCATCTCTCTCTCTACAATTTCTCTTTTTAAGCTCTGGTGCATAGAGCTTAGGAACGAACATTGAACATTGAAAAAGATATCTCTGTTTCATGTATCCCAAGGACAAATTGTCATTCTTATGCACATCAAATAATCCTCGTGAGCTTGAAAACAAGTAGAGTTCGAGATCCTATTTTTTGCAAATCGTATTATTTTTTGTCCCCATTTCATCCAACCAATTTCCAACCTGAACTACCCAAAAAAAAAAGAAAGAAAAGAAAAAGCTGAAAGGGACCCTATTGAATCTGCTTTGGAATTAGTTTCCCTAAAGAAGCATGCGATATCTTCTTTTAGCTTTGTGCTTTCTTTCGAAATCTCATCATAGATTCTCGAGGAGCCATTGGCACTCCAATGGCCCGCATATTCGTGTTTCTCGAAATTCCTTCAATTTCTAGTTTTCGTCCATCCTTTTTTTTGTGATTTTAAACCTACCTTTGTGACAAGACCCACCCTTGCTTCAACTTCATTCGCTGTACAACTTGATAGCAGACCATGATGGTCCCTAAAGATCCCTCCAATTCCAAATAGACTTAGATTTTTTCCAAAGACCTCCCTTCAAAAGGTCAATGTTAAAGTGCCTCTTGTGAGTGGGCTGCACTTCACATTTCCACTATTTTTGTGACATTTCTTAAAATTGGGCAATTTGCACTGAGATCACATCATTACTTTCTAGCCCTTGCCCATGAGATATAATTTTAGATTAACATATTTTCCCATGCCCTTGTGGTGAAGACCAGAACACAAATAATGTATGTCTCTTGGATTATTATAGTGGACCACATTGTAGTAGGTATTCTTGGTTTTTTAGAAAGGACATGGTTTTGGTAGTCAGCCGACTCACGTATTTTTGTACATTAACATTCATCTCTATGATGGATGTCAAAAATTGCCATCTCCTTTAAAAGTTAAACAGACAGTAGAAAAAGAAATTTAAAAGATACTATTTTTATTCTTTTTAAAAAATAATTTCCAAATTCATGATCATCATCACGGTTGACATTAACGATTCTTAATTTTTTTATATCCAAAATCCATTCTTAACATGAATTTTGAAAAGGCCAACACCCATAAATAAATGAATCCGCTGACTCATTGAAAAAAAAAGGCTTAGTCATTCTCGTCTTTTGACGAAGGTAAAACTGGACAGGATAAGAGGCATTATTGAGTCAGATTAGAGTTCAAGATTACGAATAGAAGATTTTCTAGCGGTAAACTAAGTAGAAAATTTAAAATTTTAATGAGGAAAAGTACACAATGAGATCATTTATCTTTGGTACAAGGTAATCACAATTAATTTTGACTATTAGATACGAAATTGGATAGCTGCATTTATTATGTTAACCAAGCTCAAAGTTCAAAATAGATTTCCTCGAATTTTGTGACACACGCGAGCTATAAAATTTCACATCATATACCTAGAGCAAGGACCATCCCAACCATCCAGACCAATACAAAAAGGTACACATACCGCATATGGAAAACAAACGATAAGATCATCCCAAAGACTGAAGGAAAGCATAAGGGTCAACCCATCGCCGTGGTTCATATGCCCAAGGGGGACAACCTATCGCCGTGTTCATATGCACAAGGTTGGGTGCGGGTACTCCTATTAACGCTATTCTTTAGCTTGGACAATGGCTTAGCCAATTACCGGGCAATGAATAGTGCTAATAGGAGCTCTTGCAACAATACCAACTCTCACGTACATAAAAGAAATACAGAAGGCAATTCTCTCTTTAAAGGAGATGGGTTTGAAACCTATCGAAGCTATCCAACACTTGAACGGGGAAGTTACTGACCAGACAACCAAGTCGAAGAGTGGGCTCTCAAGAAAGAGAAGATATGACAATTACCACCTTGAATGAACCGAAAAGTATACAATGTGATCATCCAATACTGCAAAAGAAATGAGAGAACCCAACCCAACTTCTTCGCTACAATTCTTTTTTAAAAAAAAAGGATGAAAAAAGACTCTAAACTACACATGTGACCCATACATTTTATGGTATTGTATATAATGAGACCGTTTATCTTCGACACAAAGAGGTCAATTATTTATAACCATCTAATACGAAACCTGATAGCTTAAGTGTGCCACGAAGTTTGAAAAAATTTACTTTGAACTTTGAGCTTGATCAATACATCCACCCAATTTCAAATCTAATTGTCAAAAATAATTGTGACCACCTCATACCAAAAATAAATGATCCCACATATATATATACTTTTTCACCCTAAGACCAAATTTATTCATCAAGATTTGCAATTTGGTTCAACTTTTTCCACATTCTCTCTTTTAATTATGAATACTTCTCCAAAGGACAGTTTGGTGCGTCAAATGTCGTCTCCTTCAAAAATCCATCTCAGAGATGGATTTCTATTTTAAACTTTGTTTTGGACCCCTTTCATCTGGTTCATTTTAATTCTTTGTAAATCACGGAATCTACATTATTTTTTGAGCTGCAAAATTATGGATCTAATGCAAAATGTATCTAGAGTGACTTTGGATGTGTTTCAAATTCTAGAACTATCCCTAACATCAATTTTTGAAAGGCAAGTACATCTGAATAGGACCTCATCTAAACTTCTCCTTTCTCCAAATGCAGAAGCCCAACCAAGTAATCTCCCGATATATACAAAGTCCACGTCCCAAACCAAGTGCTAATTTGTAGTTGAAAACAGTCAATTGTTACATGAGTAAAGACGAAATGCTCGAACAAGGCCTGCATTGGTAGTACAGAGGAGGCAGATAGATACACGAGATTGAAGACCATGTTCACAAGCTTTAAGTAGCATGTTAATCAACGCCTCCACTTTCGACCAATTGTTTGTATTCACCAAGCAGCTTCGGAATGTCATCCATACGTAACTGAATAGAGAAAACCAACAAACAACACACTTCGGATAAGTTTATGAAAGAAAATGAATTATTGGTAGGCTTATAATTCATAAAAAGCTTATTGCAAAGGAAGAATGTTTTTTGTGCTGAAGGATCTGAGATGTTTAGAGAGAATTTTTTGGCAAAGTATAATACAGTGAATGTGATCGGAATCAATGCATCAAAAGAAAAACATGGTGAGTGTGAGTGGCATCAATATCTCTGATGAATCTCGGAAAATTTTGGGTTTCGTCCCTACAGTGAAGTGCATTAAGGTCCTCTTACATAATTGTAAATTATATGTGCATACTCATTTGGCATTTGTTAATGACTCCAAGTTATTCACACCAATAGAACTACTATCCCATTCAGTTTCCACATTAACAGAACTAATATCCCATTTACTTTCACCTTAATTGAATCAATCTCTTCCATGCAAACTCAAAGCAACATGCAGCACTCAAATTTTATTTCAAATCATCACGAGGCCAATCCAAGGACTGGAAAATAGAACATGCAAAAAATCATCATAACTTACCAATTGCATCCTATGCGTATAGAAGAATTGTTTCACATTTATAACATTCAAAACAGGTGAAACAAAGAAGCAACAATCAAGAAACCCAACAAAGATCAACTATCAAAAGAATCCATACCTGAGAAGCATTTCTAACATGATAAAAACGGCGAACTTGCGGCTTGGAAAGAACGAAATCACTGAGGCCTCCACTAGACTCTACATTTCTGGGGTAAAGTCGCGAAGTAAGAAAGATGAAAACAGAATCAAAATGTATGTACTAGGAATTAGTCAGTAGACCAATATTTTAAGTGAAATTGTATCTTAAATGAATAAGATAGAGAAGAATCTAAGATACGTAGTCATTGATTTTCAGAAGCTGGTAAAATACTGTGAGAAAAAAAGCTTCTCTACAACTATATAATTCGATATGCCTTCCGATCAAGTTTTTCATAACTAAGATACCTCCCCACATCATCTATTGGCTACACATTAAACACAAGTTTTTTCGCAAGGTGGATTGAAATCCATGAACTCAAGTTTGTAAAAGCAAGCACCTTTTAGTTGAGCCATGAGCTTGAATCCTCAACAAACAAGACCTTGTTCCCAAAGATTAATGTCCAAGTGTGTGGTGAAAAACTTACCGCAGAAACCCTAAGTGTGTGGTGAAAAACTCACCATAGAAACCCCCCTTCCTCTTTTGATGGGCATTTGTTTGACCCCTTTTGTGCGCACACATCCTCTAGCAAACACCCCCATGAAATAAATAAATCAATGAAAAAAACAATCAATCTCTTGATGACAGAGAAAATTGTGTTCACATCAGCCGTCTGTTTAGGGGCACTGTTGGATGTATGTCAGATGAGCTCAAAAGCTTTTATTTTATTTTTTCAATTTCTTCTTCTTCTTTTAGTGGGAGTTTTCCCCCTAGGTTTCTCAAGATCATCCAAAAATTGAGATCAAACCAATCCGTTTGGGCAATGTTTTTGAGGGTAGAATGCCAGATACTGGGTGTACACAAGTCCTCCCCACACGCACACATACACGTCGTACCTTCAAAAACTTATGTTAGGGGCATTTGTAAAACCCCAATTTCGTAGACGCACTCTCTTCATCCCAATATTTAATCTCAAACAGGGGGGGGGGGGGAAAGGAAGCTACAAAATACAAAATTGAAATGGCACCCTAGCCAAATGAGCCCCGCTCCAACAATAAATGCAGGTTGTCCATTAAGTAGACATTTAGATATAGGTCCATAAGATTTTAAAAGCATTTTTAAAAGAAAAAAAATTGTTCCTCTAATGATGATAAGGCTATCAACTATATTTGGGCCAAAAAATCCCCCTCATACCCAAATCTAATCATCCCATTAAATGCATGGCCTATATTGCTTGAGTTCAAATAAGCAATTTTTAAGGCGTGTTTCAAGAGTGTTTGTGCTTTAATATGATGGGATGAAAACAGTTTAGGTTTAAAATATGGGGTCCAACAAATACCCCTAACATGGTTTGAAGTGTAGTGTTATTATATTACACTACAACCATTTCATAAAATTAGTCACTCATATGTATATATATATATATATATATATATATATATATAAGA